TGGTAACTTCAGCGGCGGGACCCGGCGCCACGCGTCGGGTCTGTACAGAAGGCTTCAGTGACCACTGGGTCCGGGATTTCCCGACGCCCTCCCCGCGGTTTTTGGCGCAACCATTGCATATAGCCTATCGATTTATGTGCTACATCCTTATCCATTATGTGCTACATTATGAGTAGCATTTCTGCACCTTGCCTATATGGCAGAGATCTAGATTTGGGACGGTGCTCATTTCGATGGCTTGTTAAACGTTGTTGTAGAGCTATGATGCACATATACATACCAAGCCTTTCACGCTCTCCGGACTGGCGTTCTTCTCGCCTTCACTGGACAGGGCTGCCAGCTTTCAACATGCTGGACATGCTGGAGCCAAGAGAGAAGTGACGTCGGATTGCTCGCCCTGAAACTGCGCCGGAATGAACGTCACTGACGATCAGCACCAGCGGCTTTCAGCGAGTCAAACCAGACCAGTGGGGTGAAACTGGCGGACCTGGCTCTCTTATCAGTGGGACAGTGTTCTGAACGTTGGTTGATGTTCTTCCTCACAGTTTATATATATACATATATATATATATATATATATATATATATATATATATATATATCTAACTATATATATATACAGTAATTGCCCGATTTATCTGCAACTTCAAAATAGGTATCCATCAGTGCCATAATCGTCGCAGTCCGGGTCTGCACGACACCGTACCTGTGTATGCTCCGGTTGCTCCCTCAGGGGTTACTCGACGGCACACAGCGTGTAGGTGAAGATGGCCCAGCTGGCGTGCCGCCCCGATGAATTAATAGAGATCGGTAATTTCACAGCTGCCGTCGGACGGAGCGAACCCCAGGGGCTGGCACGGGACGGGCCGTGCATGCTGCGCTGTTCAGCTGTTCACACCGGGTAGACACCAAATGTGTGGAGAGGTTGGCAGCAACAGCGAGGGATCGTCTCAGAGGATTTGCGTACACGGCGCTTCTTGAGGGCGTTATGATGGCAAATTCACTTCTTGATGGCGCTATGATGGCAAAGCCACTCCGAGGTCATTGCACCCGGTCTCTCAGAGAGCTTATGGTCTGAGCTGACCTCGCTTCCAAGTTGGGCGTCACAAGTATCCGAAGTGGTCATTTCGCTGCGACAGAACAGTTCCCTCCTTGTCGCAGCAATGACCGATCACAGCAGCTTATGATGGTGTGTGTTGATTATGCCCGAAGATTTTAAGGGACCGATCAAAAAGTTGTTTATTGGCTATTGTCGAGAAATTAGCTCACTTTCCTGATTAATAGCATGCTTTTATTTATAAGGAATTGTCCCTTTACATTGCACTCGTTCGGACAAAGTTGTGAAGTTAGGAAAGATGCGATACCAAGGGACGCGCTCCACATGGTGGTGAGATTTTGGGCACTTTCGGAGTGTCAAGTTCAAAACAATATAGCAGGCTTATGCGAGGAAGGAACTTATTGCTCATATAGCCATGGAACCAACTAGACTTCCAGAGCGTTTCATCTCATTTTCCATGATATTAATGACGGCATTTGGGTAATCAAACACCGAAATGTTTGCATTTGTGGTGAAATGATCACGTGAAATGAAAAATTGGTTGTCATGATATGCCATGAATGGAGAAGAAGACCACTAAAAATCACCCAATATCTAAAGCATCTCCATAACGTTTCCCACTAGGGGGGGGGGGGAGGGAGGGCCAAGCTCATTTCTCCCGGACGAATGCATGGAACATCGATGACGTGGTGTAGGAAGCAGAAAAAAGCTGCAGAATTAAGAACCGTTTGATTTTAAGTGTATTCTCTAATTACAGCTGAAAGCAACTTTTATAAACAGTTACCCTGAGTGGTTTAGTGGTATACGTCACACGTTGCCAATCTCACCTGCGCGCCTACATTTAATATAACCGGGCTTGGTACATAGCATTATGGCTGGAGACGGAGCATTAGTATATTTTATATATATATATATTTATTTATTTATTTAAAAAACCATCGGCAATATTTCTGAAAGCCGATAGTTTTTCCGGCTGAATTGCAAATCGGCAGCGAAACATATGCATCTAGATATCGGTGTACCCGCACATTCATATTCTAATTACAGCGACCGCCTTATTTACTCCAACGACGAGAACCCGTCTCGCACGGGGGCGGGTGAAACGAGCATGACGACCGAGCGGTTAGCGCCTTCTGTTCCCACGTGTTCCTTAGCGCCTTCTGTTCCCATGGCACGGCCCGGGTTCAAACCCCGGCCGTGCCATGGCCGATGAGCGCTACTCTGGCCGCTACAGCCAGTTAGTGGTAGAGTGATAGCCAGTGGTAGAGCCGAACGTCGCGCCGTTCTACCCCAACAGCCGAACGTCGCGCCGTTCTACCCCAACAGCCGAACGTCGCGCCGTTCTACCCCAACAGCCGAACGTCGCGCCGTTCTGCCCCAACAAGACGCGGAGCACTGGGCGACCATTGCAGCGCACTCCGTCTAATTAGTTAGACTGTTCTGGACAGCTCAACGGGTCTTCTGGCCATTCGGCAGATACTTAAGAGCGTTTGCTAAATGCACCGTATTGAGATGTTCTAAAATTGATGACAGCTGAGACATTGGATGTCACCAATATCTGAAATCCTGATGTCGTTGTTATACGTTCTTGCGTTAGAAATATCAGCTTTGATTCGAATAATTGGAATCGATTCACGATCCTGGCCATGAATTCATGCTTAAATGGAGATCAGAGTCAGAATCGTCATGCCAGTTTGCTTAAAAACAACAATTGATTTAAGTCATGAGTTTGAAAAGTAGGTGGGATTCCCATCTTGATTCGTACACCAAATATGTTGAGTCAGGAAAGACATATTTCATGTAGAGCTTAATCGAGTACAAATCTGACCGTGATGCGAACTCACTGCATACAGTGATCAGTGATCGATGGCGATAGCCGTTGATCTACCTTTAAGCACAAGTAACTATCTTGCGAATTACCAGATGAGCTATGCTGTTCGGACTATTGTAACTACTGAACCGCTTATTGTGCAATGGTCGCTTAGTGCTCCTCTTATTCGGGGAGAACGGCCCAACGCTCGACTCTACCACTGGCTGCAGATGTCGTCAGCCCATTGGAGCCGTTTCTCTGAACCAGCTGAATGAAAAGGCTCCATATGCAATATGCGCAGCGGCAGCGGACCAACCAACGCGTTTGGAGAGCCTGCGTGCATGCCTGACCTTCGCAATCTTGTAGCGAGCGCGCTTCATCACGTTCAGGGAAACGAGTCGCGAACTATTCTGTGGCATAAGCGCAATAGCTGCCAGCGTCGATCTTCCATGATTGACCGGGGCTTTGAGTGTCTTCAGTGCATTGCTTATATGAAAAAGCCGTCTGTGCCGGACAGTCTTCTACGTGATACATCTTCCTGTCTGGTGCTCCTCAGGACCTTCACCTTATGGAGTGGAGTGAGCGTGCGACGTGGTAGCTGTCCTGACCTGAACCACCTACGCTGTGCGGACATAGGAAATACTGTGTAGAGATGAGAGCAAAATACGATTTGACCTCAGATATCCCAGCCTGGTGGGCTCACGATCAGGGATAACTGAAATGCCCAGATAACAGTTCTAAAAGATGTTCGAGGCTTTCATCCTGTTCATTGCCAAGAGGGAACTTTTTATGGTGAAGGTAGTGAAGTCATCGAGGCTAGCCGAGAGCTACCACGCATGCGCGCCATAAAGTTAGTGAAGACGAAAATCCGTTGGTGTCCAAATGTCATCAGTTGTGCGTTGGTAACAATGCTGAGAATGCATCACTGCAACCGCGCGCTCCAAACACCTGCAACAATAGAGCATCGAGGTTCCTGTTCGTTTGACATGTCAACCATCCCCGCACAGGTGTGATGAGTCCGAAATCTATTCAACTTTTGATAAGCGGCCACTGTGCACATGTGTCGTTGTGAAGAAATTCTTTTCACCAGCGCCGTTCCACAGGTGCAAGTGGCTTTGCGAAGTTGAAGTGACTCGTCACCGCTCGGCACATATGGCCACTGTCGACTAGCCTAAAGTGTGGGATGTGCGCTCAGTGTGTGGGGTGGGTGTCATCCGACAGGAGGTGCAGGCCTGACGGTGCAGGCTCTCAGCTGGTGTGCAGCTGCCGCTCGTGCACCGGTCAGGCTGTTAGGCTGTGTGTGTGTGACAATTCTGCCTCCTTAAGTGAGTGGGCCTCCAGCAGTTGATGTGCCCTCACAGCGTTGAACCTAACGCAAAAAGTTTCCACAGGCCAGTGTAGCTGTTTGAACTCTGCTTGGAGGAATGCTCCACTTTTGTTTATGGTTTTGAACTGGTATCGCCAAATACTGACTTGGTGCTCAACCGTGCGCAATTTTGCCCGCAAACTAACGCTGCGTGTTGTCATGGAATTTGGCTAAGTTATATTGTACATTTGCACCTCGAATATGGCCATTTGTCTCAAAATTCGTCTCGACCAGTGTGCAACAGTGACCAACAGTCACACACAGTGAGGCATTAAACAATTATACAGCTCCGATAACCTAAGAACCAATGCGGGTTATCCTAGACGCGTAAAAACATTTTATGCCATACTTCAAGATGACATGTGAATGAAACCATGGTGACGTCAACAAAGCTTTACATGCGGACTTCGGAGCGTAGGAGCGAAATTTTAAAAACTGACATTTGGGATGTAAATCCCTTTCACTGAAAGCGAATTCTTTAACAACACCAAGTTGATAATTGAAAAGCGAGAAAGTGGAAATGATTCCCTACATAGGTCATGTAGTGCGCATGACATAAACCATCGCTGCTGAGGATCTTGCGACTTTCTGGCATCTTCTTTATCTCTTTTATAAAACTAACTATTGCGGTCCTCCGAAATCCCAATAAGTTATTTGAGCACTGTCGTACCGCACAGCAAGGTGAAACATTGCGTTGGTGCCTGGGCGTCGAGCCGAGCCCACAGTACCGAGCTGCCCCTGCTGATCCGCGGCCTCGTGCGTTCCAGTCGGCCCCCAGTATGGCTTCGCTGGCGGTGCTGGGCGGGCTGATGTCGGCCGGGCCTGGCTCGCCGCCGCCGCCCGATGACGACGAGGAGGGCGACCAGGCGAGCCGCGGCTACCCGGACAGCTCGGCCAGCCGCTCAGAGGATGGCTACCTGGACGGCAGCGGCTCCGAGAAGCGTCTGTCTTGCGAGACGCTCTTGAGCGGCGCCAAGAAGCGCCGCAAGCAGTCGCACCCGGTGAAGATCGGGCCGGGCGGCGAGGCAGAGCCGGAGGTGCCGCCGCCGGGCGAGGCAGAGCTGCCGCCGCCCCTCCGCTGCCCCTACTGCCCGCAGGCGTTCCCGCACCAGGTCCAGTTCAAGTATCACATCGAGGTGGAGCACGTGAGGAGGGCGCTGGCGGACGACGCGCCCGCAGAGAGCGTGATCTTCGGTCGGGAGCTGCCTCTGAACCTGTCCTCCGGTCCGAGACATGACGGGCTGCGGGGTCAGGAGAGCAAGCACCAGGCGGAGAATTACAGGTCAGAGCACAGCCTGCCGCCGGCCATGCCACTGCCTCCATCGTTTCAGGACAAGTTCCCCCGCTCCCGAGTTCCTGCAGTACGGGCCGCCGCCTTTCCTGCTGTCGTTCCTCTCGCAGCAGGCGGGCGCCGCGCCGCCGACTCCGACTCCGGGCGAGTCGCCGCTGAAGATCTTTAACCCTGAGGCGTACTGCGAGCTGTGCAACAAGGAGTTCTGCAACAAGTACTTCCTGAAGACGCACAAGGCCAACAAGCACGGTGTGTATTCGGAGCCGGCGAGCGGCGGCGCCGGTGGAGGCGGCCCGGCACCGGCGGGGGTGGGCGGACCGCCGCCGCCGCCGCCGCCGCTGCCGCCGCCGCCCGGCGCTCACCACTCACCAAGCGCGGACTCTCGAGACTCGGGTAGGCCCTCGAGCGAGGCGGAGGCTGTGCGGCCGGCCGGCGCAGCCCACCCGGACGCCTTCTGTGAGCTCTGTCAGAAGGAGTTCTGCGACGCTTACTACCTGCGTCGACATAAGCAGCGCGTGCACTCCGTGGAGGGGCGCGAGCCACCACCGCCACCGCCACCGCCGCCGCCCGGGGCTCCGCCAGAGGCAGGCGCCGCCGGCCAGGGTGCCGCCGACCCGTACGACGCGCAGCAGTTGTTGGAGCCGGTGGTGTCGCCGACGCTGCTGCAGCAGCTGAACACAGGCGAAACCCACGACCACCAGAAGGTGATCCATGAGCTCATGGAAAGGCTGGCGACGAACGGCGAGTCGCCGAAGAATTTCACCAAGGAACAACTCCGCGAGATTGGTGTCGTCAATGTTGACGCGTTCTGCAACGTTGCTGGAAGGAGTTTTGCAACAAATATTTCCTGAAGGTGCACAAGTACAGGAAGCACGCCATCGGGTCGCCTCCTCCGGAGATGGACAGGCACAACGGCGCGTCCGGCGGGCACGATTCCATGGCTTGTCCGCCCCTGGAGAAGCTGCTGGACGCGCCTCTGAAGGAGACTCCGAGCCGAAGGAGTGCGACCTCTGCCAGAGAACCTTCCAGAGCAGCTACCTAGTGCAGATGCATCGGTACTACTTTCACGGTTCGGGACACCCGAACAGCCACGGCTCGATGCCACCTACGCTCCCTGGGAACGCGCCGGCTAAGAATTCCCCGTCCGCCGACCATAAAAAGAAGGCGCACTTCAGTGACGATCTGCAGAAGCTGCAGGGAATGATCAAAGGCCTAAACGACAAGAAAGGCGGACACGCGGCGGTTGCGTGTCACGTGTGTGGCAAGAACGTCGACAGGCAGGCCCTGCAAACCCATTTGATGAATGAGCATGGCGTGTTCCACAACCAAGAAGAGTTGATCATTCCAAAGCCGCCCGACCTCATTATCATCTTCCAAACCTCAGAGCAACAAGGACTCCAGAGAAGCCTCGAGCCCCCCACCCCAAGGCTCAGAGACGGTTTGCAGCGTTTGCAAGAAGGACTTCTATGCTAAATTCTTCCTCCAGCAGCACATGCAAGCGGCCCACGGAATCCAAGCGTCGCCAATGAACGAGACCGCATTTCTCGCGAGGATTCGACTGGAGGTGGAGGGCCAGAAGAAGTTGGAGCGACCAAAGCCAGCCAGCACCAGCCGTAGCTACTGCGAGATCTGCAACAAAGAACTCTGCAACAAGTATTTTATGAAGACCCACATGATCAAGATGCATGGAATCAATATGGAGAACCACCAGATTCAAGGTGGCGTCAAGTGTGATGTCTGTCAGAAGGAGCTCTGCAGTAAGTACTTTTTAAAGGTCCATAAGCAAAACACACATGGTATCTACGATCCGGAAGACGACAAGGCGCTGAAGGCAAGCGATGCCGTCATCAAAGACGAGGAAGGCCTGGAGGTGTGCACTGTCTGCAGCGGCAAGTTCAAAACGGCCAAGCTCCTGGAGTCGCACATGGCAAGTGAACACGGCGCACCGAAGGAGAAGAAGCCCAAGTCCAGCTCGGTGCCGCGGAGCGCACCCGGCATCGGCGTAACCTGCAGCCTGTGCGGCCGCTGCTTCCCTGACCTGCTGTCGCTGCGACTGCACGCGATGCAGGCCCACCCGCTGCCGGAGCAGAAGGGCGAGAACAACGGCACGGCGGGCGAAGAGACGCCACTGGAACCGGCCCAGCTGGGCGAGAAGCTGCTGCGGCACCCGTTCGGCCCGTTCGCCGGCCCGTTCCCGCCGTTCCTGCCGCCGGAGCGCGTCATGAGCCTTCTGCCGCAGCTGGCCGGGCCGCTGCTGGAGCCGGCGCGCTCGCCCTTCGCGGCGCCGCCGCTCGACCTGCCGCCCAGTCTGCTGTCGCGCCAGCTGGCTGGCCTGGTGGGTCCGCTGGCGGGAGGGCGACGCTGAGCCGCCGCCTCCACCACCCGGTGCTGCCGCCGCCGCCGCTGCCGCTGCCGCTGCCCGCCGCTGCCGCCGCCACGGCACCAGCCAGCCGCCGGCGCTTGCCGCGAAACACGCCTCGGCTGCCCGCCGGCGGCCGGCGGTACCGCTGCAAGCCATGTCGCCTGAGTTTCCCGCAGCGTCACCGCTACCTGAGCCACTGGCACCAGAAGCACGGTCACAGCCGCCTGCCGTACGCGGCTAGCCTGCTGCGCGGCTACCTCAACCGCAACTATCGTTGCACGCGTTGCGGCTTTCAGCTCGCGCATGCGCAGTCTGGTGCGGGCCGGCACGTCCGCCGCCACCACCGGCGCGGCCCCGGACGGCGCCGCGCTGCCCCTACCTGTACGCGCTGCCGCTGACGGTCGGCGACGGCGGCAGCGACCGCTACACGATGCAGTCGTTCCTGATGCAGTCGTCGCCGGCGGAGGGGGCAGCAGCCGCCGATCGCGCCCGCCTTCGTGGTGCTGCCCGTCTTCAGGGAGCTTCGGGAAAAGACCGAACTGCGCCTGACGCTACTGCCGGCGTAGGCGACCGTCAGCTGGCGACGGTGGCGGCAGAGAGGACAATGCGAGGGGAATCGAGAGTACGGGTGAGTGATGTGATGATGCTCCTTAGGTATATTCAACGATCTCAGGGGTTCATTTCAGCTATTTTAGTGCGCGTTCATCGATCGATGGCTGCGTAGAGCAGGTAGTTTTTCTGTACATACGATGACTTGTACATATATCCGTAGAGTACTGCATAGCGGGGGGGGGGGGGGGCTTAATTTGAGCCAAAGGGCCACTTCAGTCGACTGCAGAGGCCACGTACAACAATCTACCTCCACGACCAATCAACGCGCGTGTAACTGCCACGCGTTCGGCTAGCGGTAGTAGACCCACGGTAAAGTAGGGCGCCCCATGAGGGCGGCGCACGGGCCCACGTCCAAGTCTGAAGGGCGATAGTCTGATCGAATGAGATCCTTTGCTTTCAGGCTCGGTGGCCTTGTTAGCTCCCGTTTCTTGAAGGATGCGCCCCGCATAGCACCATACATTCCTAATTCAATTTCAGCGAGTGGGACGACTCGGGATTTCGGTACAAGGGTAAAAATTGCCTTCTTTCTAGACAACTACGGGCTGGTATGTTTACGGGAATGACCTGTGATCTTGGGGCATTCTAGCATGATATTTAGTGTAGGACAGAATCTATATAAGCTGGGTCTCTTCACTGAGATCCGTGAGCTTATTCTTTCGCAGGCTACCTCAAAAACTGCCGTCTGGTCTGTGGCGATCTATATGAAGTCGGTCGGTGCGAGATGCATTTGGAGCTGATGATGGTTACAATTCTACATTGCAGACTAAAGGTACACCTGAGCGCGGCGGTAATAAAGCGCACTTGGCTGGAATTCTACACTCGGGGCGAGGCGATAGCACGCTGTCGCGTGGGGCTGAAGAAGTTACAGCTGAGCACTTTGGGTCACGTGTCCAATCATTGTCATTCCCAATGTGAATTATAAGTTAGCAGAGCATTAATTTGTATTGCAGTTCGTCTAGTCTTACGATTCAAGATTGCAGTCCCTTTCCCCTATCGGAAATGGAAACGTTTTGATTTAGTTGGCTTCAACGGTTGAATGGGAGCCATTTGGGTTTTATTTCGAACGCAGTGAGTGGCGGGGCCGTCAGTATATTTTGCACTCCAGAATCGCTTTGCGCGTAATTCAGAATTGCTGAAGTCTGAACCGCGTGTGGGGTTGTGTCACCAAGCAGCAGCAGTGTCAGCATCTTCCAGACAAGCCAAATGAATTGAACTGCCATCTCCCCTGTCCAGAAGAAAGCTCGCGCCCAGTCCCTCGTCTCATTTGATTTCCACTGTAAGCCGGGTGATGGCCGCATCGGCGCCGGCCGCGGTCGCGCTTCACAGGCCGCATCGGCGCAGCCCGCGGTCTCGCCTCCACAGGCCGCAGCGGCGCCGGCCACGGTCTCGCTCCACAGGCCTCAGCGGCGGCCGCTCGCGGTCTCGCTCCAGCAGGGCCGCAGCGGCGCCGGCCGAGGGTTGCGCTCCATAGGCCGCTGCGGCGCCGTCCGCGGTCCTCGCTCCACAGGCCGCAGCGGCGCCGGTCGCGGTCCTCGCTTCACAGGCCGCAGCGGCGCCGGTCGCGGTCTCGCTTCACAGGCCGCAGCGGCGCCGGGCCACGGTCGCGCTCTCACAGGCCGCGCCTCCGGCTCCGGTTTGAGCCGACGAGGCGCGCCGTCGCGCCGGCCAATCTCGCCCGTCCCATTCGCCGAGCAATGGCGGGCCGACGCCGACGCCGGCGCCGGCGCCCGCGCCGCCTTGGTCTTCGTTTCGGCCGTCGGCGGCCGGCCGCCGGCCGGCCCGGTTTTTCGTGCTCCCCGCGCCGAGTGAAGACCGTTTGCCGGCTAAAAAAAATCAATAGCGGCGTGTGGTGAGCGGCGCGAGCGCTGGGCCGAGGTCGGTGGGCCGCGCCGGTCTGATCAATGACGTGGTGGGGCCGCCCGGCCGTCCGCCCGGCCGGCCGGCCGGCCGGCGCGTTTTCATTCCTCTTGAAGCCAATAACCAAAGAGCCGTCGGGTCGATGGCTGAAAACATGGGAGCTGCAGGCGCCTGGGGCCGGCCGGCGGGCGGCGCGCGCCGGCGCTGGCCGCGACGGCGCCGCCGACGACGCGCAGGGCACCCACCGCCTCCGGTGAAGGAGCGATCGCTGTGAACTGCCGCCCGAAAGATGGCGAATTTGAGCGCGTATTGATCGGGAGTGGCGCCGGCGCGCGACGGTCGGCGCCGCCGCCCGGCCGTCGGGCCGCTGCTGGCCGAATTTGGAACCGGTGGGCGGCTATCGACCAGCTCCACCCGCGGGGTGGGGTGAGAACTGGCCCGTAGTTAAACTGGCGCCGCGCCGCGCCGCGCCCGACGGCTGGGCCTGAATAATGAAGGAAAGCGACCGCTGTCCGGACCCGCAGGTGTACTCCCATCTGGGGAGGGGGGGGGGGGAGGCGACAAAGTGATATGTCAGCGACAGCACGTTCAGGCAATTCAGGCCAGGTATATCGCTAAGTGAATAGCTTTTTAGCCTTTGATAAGTTGTTGGTTCTAACATTTTCTATTTTACCAAGAATGTCTCTCAAAATCGCGATGAAACTACCTCAAAAGAGCCGCAGTTGCTGTCAAACGGTGGAGGCCATAGACTACTCTTGATGAGCGTTTCTTCTTCAGATCAGTATGAAGAAACTCTTCATATCTTCATATCAGTATATGTCGTCGAAGGACGGAAGCCGGCCACATCTTGTCAAATATGATGTGGAAGTCAAAGTTTTTGAACTCATACCTTCTACGCTGTGCTCACGAAAACATTTACAGCCAGTCCAAGCAACATGAACCGCCGGCCACGATATGAACATGCATTATTCACACGCACTTTAAACTGGCTCACCCCATTTCACACGAACATCTTTTTGTTCGTAAACCCTGTCGGATATGAACTGTAGGCCTTAAGAATCATGTACTTGTCAGGGGGCTATTCAAGTGCAGCGAAGCGCAGGAACTTGCGAATCAGGTGTATGCCAAAAGCATTCAGTGGCAATGGTCGACGTACCACTCCACCAGAGTTTTCCGCGGAAGGTAATCGTCACCTGAGCCCCGTAGTGCGGGTTTTTTGCTGGGAAGCACCAGAACTCGAGTCCAGCGCACACTGTACCACAGCTCGAGCTCATTTATTTCTTGCTGTCCGGTTTTGATGGCTGCTCCTGCCTACGGGATAAATTCGCTGAACTGCCCAACCATGGCATGATGCCGGCCGCTGCCTGGTGGGATTTACCATGTCCGGTTCATATGGACTCCTACTGCGCACAGTGCAGCGGACGCTGTTAGGAACGACACTACCCCGACCTAGAAAGTCACGCCTCGAAAAGTGATCAAAATGCATAGATATGGAATACCGCATGCGCTCTTGTGACTGCATTGCCAGAAAGGCCTGAATGAAAGTTCGTAACAGCCAAGCGTCCGGGTGGCAGGTGTGTGATGTCTAACGACTGCTATGTACATCGCGTATCACATTCACAATCTACAAATCAAGAACTAGGTAAACAAAATGGCCGCACAATCGATTAATCAATAGGCAGTTCGTGGGACCGGCTATATTTTGCTTACTGCTGTGGTTACAGTGAAATGGCTTGCGGCCTTAAATCTTTGGTAGATATTTGAAATCGATATATATATATATATATATATATATATATATATATATATATGAAGCACAACACTTTGGCAGGATCTTTTTTCACGATTATGAAAGTGTGATTGTTACAAGTTAGTGCCCACTATTATTAGACGTGTTTTGACGACTGCATGACTGGGCTCAAACAGGCAACGCTCGTCATACATCGTCGCGATCGCGCCACATATCGTCACGATCCGCTGCACCTTAGAGTCACAGCCCTCCACGAATCAGCATCAGCGCTAAATTTGGCCAAAAGGCTGGGTAATCTCGCTTTGCTGTCGCCTAGAGTGTTACCTGTTCGTGGTGGCACGTCCCACTGTCATCCTCAGGCCGTGTTGAGGGGCAGTGATACCAAAACAGGTGACTGTGTCTTCTAATATGGCTTTACTGCATGACACCAGAATGACGCACTACCATCGTAAGTGCTATTTTAAGCACTGTCAGGAAGCAGGTGTAATTTTTTCGTCAATTACCAATATCTTTTTTTAGCTAAGTTTAGCATGGATGCCGAAACTGCGGAGTTGGGACTGGGGGTGCAAGTGAAATAGTCATTTATTTAGTGACAAACATCGTCATACCTGAAGTGTCCAGTTTCCTCAAAGTGGCACCACTGTCGCGGCAGTGTCTAACCGTGCTGGAGCTGTTTGCAGCGTTTGTGACCAGCCTACAGCTGTTTCCATACTGATGCCAAACCGAAGCCGTTTCCAGCATGTGACCCGGCAGGAGCGGCTCCTACGTGTGGTATCGCGCCGGAAGTGTGCCATCGTATTTACCAGCAGGAGCGTTTCTGCCGTGTTTCGGAGCCGTGTCTGTTTCCAGCGTTTTTCCGATCCGGAGCTGTTTCCTGCGTGTGACCACGAGCTGGAGCTGTTTAGAGTGTGACCGTGAGCCGGAGCTGTTTGCAGAGTGTGACCGCAAACCGGAGCTGTTTACAGAATGTAATCGCGAGCCGGAGCTGTTAACAGAGTGTGGCCGCGAGCCGGAGCTGTTAACAGAGTGTGACCGCGAACCGGAGCTGTTAACAGAGTGTGACCGCGAACCGGAGCTGTTTACAGAGTGTGACCGCGAACCAGAGCTGTTTACAGTGTGTGACCGCGAGCCGGATCTGTTAACAAGTGTGGCCGCGAGTCGGAGCTGTTAACAGAGTGTGGCCGCGAGCCGGAGCTGTTAACAGAGTGTGACCGCGAACCAGAGCTGTTTACAGTGTGTGACCGCGAGCCGGAGCTGTTTACAGAGTGTGGCCGCGAGTCGGAGCTGTTAACAGAGTGACCGCGAGCCGGAGCTGTTAACAGAGTGTGACCGCGAGCCGGAGCTGTTTACAGAGTGTGACCGCGAGCCAGTCCATCACGCAGAGATCGGGGCCGGCGCGCCGCCGTCGTATGTGCGGCGCTGCTGCGTTTGCCAGGACTGGTTCAGCAGCACATGCCCCGGTGCATGATAAGGCTGCGTGACAGGCGGCTGCTGTCATCACACGCCAGCTGCCACGCGAGAGCTGTCTCGTTAACGATATGTGTTCCATAGGCGGCAATTTTCCGGCATGGTGTTCGGACTGGCGGTTTTCAGAGTGACTTGAAAGGGCCATTGATGGCAGGGATGCCAGACAGAATCAGTATGGAGGAGATTTATTCGGTTTCACTTCGACCGATTCGTAACTAAAACGTGATCGCGATGTCGCAGGCAATAATAAGGCCTTTATCAAACTAGCTGCAGTTGCTGCTTTCAACTGACACGTTAGATGAAAACCTGCTGCACTCTTCTAATATGCGGGTAGTGGAGTTGATTCACTTTGGTGCTTATTGGTCTTGAAGTTGCCGCGCGGCTCATGAATATATATATATATATATATATATATATATATATATATATATATAACGTATGTATGCATGCACGCGTTTATGTGTGTGTGTGATCAATGCCGAGGCTAATGCATTGGAGCTTTAAGTTTGCCGGTGATAGCTGACGCACCACCAAAGGTTTGTCTGAATCTTCAAAGGACCATGCAAGAGTCAACACGCCCATCTGGACTTTTTATCTTAGTTCTATGACTTTTTCCAAATTCGGGACTTTTGCATGGCGTGGGCGCTGTCGTGCGCAGCAAAAGTGAGCGGATCCTATTTTTCCGCGCGTTCCGTGTTTCACTCCCCCCCTCTTTCCCTGGGTTTCCCCGCCGCATTACTCTCTTTGTCATTTCCGCCCTCGCATTCGGCGCCATGATTTGAGCCATGTGTTTGTGAAGTTTTAGCAGTGCGCAGCTGCACAAACCGGAGCGAACGGAGCGACACAATTAGCGTAATTTGCATATGCGCCCCGCTTGATTTATTTCGCCTGCACCTTTGTGCTCCCCTTCAAAATTCCAGTTTTCCCCTAAAAATGCGCCAATGGTTTCGTATGGAAATGAGCACACAGCACATTAAATTCGACGCGACAACATTCATTACGCCGACAGAACCTTTGCTGACGCGTCTGCCACGTGTGTCGTTTGAACGCGTCAAAGGCACCCCACCTTTTCATGTGCCGTATGCAGGACTGGCGCACACGCGCCCCCTGCGACCGTTCTCGGTAATGAAAAATTAACTGCCTTTGCGATAAACACGGCCTAAATTGTTCGGCTTCTGGCGGAGTCATTGGCTGACCTTGGCCAGGCAGAAATATTTATAATATAACGATGGAGGGCGACTGGTGATCTTCATTGCAAATAACTTTCGTAAATTGTTTGAATGAGTAGTTTTGAGATAGGAGTCCTAGGTACGTAAAGCTTGTTGCTTATGGCTGACCCTGACATCCAAGTGATCTGAACAAGGTTGAAATTTTGACTCAATTTATCATAACATCCGAGACCATGGCGTGGCCTTCTGTGGCAAGTGCACACTACGCTGGGTGAAATACAACGCCTTAGTCAGAAGTCGAAGCCTCGCAGTGACGCTGTTCGATACCTGCTTTTCTCCGTCTCCGGCGGCTTATGTTTTTTCTTCCTTGTCAAAACCGTGACGCTCGCAGCAATTCTCAAAAGGATGCGTGCGTTGCTTGTGCGTCGATTCACTTGCCAAGCCGCGTGCGGTTTTGGGTACCTCAGTGTGGGTCAAACTTGCAGATGTTTTGAGTATATACG